AAGGTTGGTAAAAATCATAAAAACAACGAATAGAGCTCTTTATTTAAGTAAATTCATTCATCATAAAAAAAAACTATTTATTGATTTACTGTTGTGAGATCTTCAAAATCGACCTATAGAGGCAATAATTCAAATAACATTCTAATCTCATTTTCAAGTGAGCAATAACAACCACTTTTTATTTTTATTTGCCTACTCCCTAGGGGTCCATAAGAATGTCTCATTACGCGTGAACCAATATTCAACATTGTCAACTAACCGACCGTCCGCATACCCTGTCTGGTATGGACGCTAAAAATATCATTCCTCACTACCCTGTCCGGTAATGAGGGTGAATTGGGTCGTCCTCATAACCTATCTGGTATGAGCGCCAAAAATATCATCCCTTGATACCTCGTCCGGTATGAGACAACGTTCACGGTAGGATTTCCAATGTACCTGGTCCATCCACCATCTTTCAGCATATTTAGTAAGACTACCATTCATTGATTCATATGACCAAATAATTTATATTAATTTTTAATTTCACAAATCAACCGTAAAGCACGCAAGACAAACAACATATATATCAATGAAACACCATTGAATCATTTAACTATTCTAATATATCATCATGTATTTAAAGTTCAACAATCAGTTAAACACGACAAATAAATAACTAACCAGTTTCGACTCCATTGGTAACCTGTAATTATTCTCAAAGTTTTTTAAATTATACAAAATTTCATACTATCGACTATTAAGCTTCAATTTCGTAACAAAGAATAAGGTGAGAGATTTTTACCCGAATCGGTGTATGAAATACTGAACTTTCTACTGCGCCTACTGGCGGTATTTGAGTTTTATGATTTTTTTTCGCGGAGATTAAAACACGTTTCACGTACCTAAAAATACCCCAAAAAATCTAAAATTAGGGTTAAAAATATTTTTCTACCAATTTCAGAATTCCAGCACGGTGGAACCGCCGCCCGCGAAAATGGTTTACCTCGGCCTGACCGTTTTCAGCCTGTTTGACCAGTTTTGGCCAATTTTATACCCATCCCTGCGATAAAATACGTTAGAAGGTCTCGGTTGGTCAAAAAAATAAAAAAATAGAAACCTATCGTGGTAGAATTTTTATGTGCAACGGCTCTGCTGACTCTCTTTCGCGGTTGGGTATTTTTTTTCGGTCAACCTGTAGAAAACAAAATGGTGAACACAACGGTAATGCACGAAACAGGAAACGGGAAGGGGCTCATCCGAGGCGATTTCGTAGTTTGCCTGCGGCGGTACCGTTGGACTTTGCCTGCGGGTTTCGGCTCACCCGCTGTTTATTTTGCTTCTATTTGGCCATGGGGGTTCTCAAAATTAAATTCCGAGCAGATAAGAGAATTTTTATCTTTTTTGGGCATCAGAAGTGGCTTCAGCGCGGGGGAGGGGGGGCGACGGTCGGCTCCCTTCTCTGGCGACTGGTTTTGCTTCTCCGATGGGAGGTTGGCGTTTAGGGTTTGTTTTCGGTGTGATGTGAGATATTTATACCTATCTCGCGTTAGTTTGGGCCATTCATTGTGTTTGATCTCGATCATTCGATTGCGTTTAAAAAGAAAATAAATATGAATTGTTTATCACGATTTGATCTCAATTGTACGA